ACTGTCTTTTTTCTTTTTTTTTTTTAAAAGTAAGTGTTTTACGGCGCTCGCAACAGTTAGTAACAATAACTAACACAATATCAACAACAACAATAACAATAACAACAACAAAAACAACAAAAACAACAACAACAACAACAACAACATCAATAATAATAATAACAACAACAACAGCAGCAACAACAGCAACAATAATAGCAACAGTAACAATAACTAACACAATATCATCATCATCTTCAACAATAACAACAACGACGACAACAACAACAACAGTAACAACTCTTCTTAATATACTTTCTTTATCCTTTCGATTGGAGTAAGCGAACCATTCACAGATTAAGACATGTATCGAGTCATATCGACGTGGTGTCCAGTGTGGTTGGTTTGACATAACATTTAAACCAATACGCTTGCACGCGCGTGCACACACACACACACACACACACACACACACACACACATGCACATACACACGCGCACACACACACACACACACACACGCGCATGCACGCACATACATACGCGCACGCACAGACACATGCATGCACACACACACCCACCCACCCACACACACACACACACACCCAACCCCGAGCTTCACTAGACCCCCCCTCCCCATAAAACCCCAGAAGAAACAACCACTCACCCACCACCCCGTGCGCTTTCTCCACTTTTCTAAGATATTTATTTATGCCATAAACCTTCCTACTTTAGTTTTAGTAGAGGTTTTACGGCGCTCGCAACTACATAAGGTCATATGAGCACCCGAAGATTAGAGGTGTTACAAGAGAGTAACAAACATTAAAAAAGAAGAAGGGGAGATAGGACGATAATATATGTTGAATAGGAAAGAAGAAGCAAACCACACCAGAGCCTTCCTACTTCATATAGTTTGTTCATCAAAAGCGAGCACTGTGAAAGAAGTGCAGGTAGGGTAAATTTGTCGCTGTTAAACACAAGGGGGCTATCCCCCCAAAAAATACTGTTTTAAAAAAAATCGAAGAAAAAGTTTTTGTCCTTTGTTCAGTTTCTTTAAAAGTCAAGGAGAGGTTTCTCTAAAACCAAACATATATACGCACCAACGAAACCAAACTTCTCCTATAGGTAGGACAATGCACACTTTTGGTGTAGGTCAAGATTTATGGAAACCCCCGAAATCTGGGTTAGCCCTCTTGTCCTTAAAAGCGACCAATTACAGGGTAGAGGAATACGTAACTCATTTTTCCAGTGAAGCCACGGGAAGAATAATGAGATAAAAGCGACTGCTGCAAACGAAGACATATTAACGTGGCAGAAAAGAGCAATTTCCGCAACAAGGGAAGCAAACGGTACATTGCTCAGAAACGCTGGGTTTAATCTATTACCTCCCTTTACACAAAAATTCTTTTGTCGCGTGGACACGCACACATGACTCGCCCTTTAGTAAAAGAAAAGTAGGTGTGTAGGATTAAGGCCCCTATCAACACTCTCAAAACCATCTAGCAAGGCTTTGGTAAGAATGAGCGTAGATGTGTGTTACTCTTAGAGCATGTATCTATATTTAACTCCAAAGGTCTTGTAATTAAATTCCTGCATGTGGTTGAATGATGCATCTGATGTGAATGTACATTTTGTCAGCTTTTCTTCTCTTTTCATATTGCGTTTTATTAATGAGAGTAATATATAATTTACTTTTTAAAATGTATACCTGCATGCGTTTTTACGGTTCTGTACAGCCAAGAAAAATTTCCCTCTGGGATAATAAAGTATTATTTTATCTTATCTTATCTTATCTATCTTATCTTATCTTATCTTATCTTATCTTATCTTATCTTATCTTATCTTATCTAT